TTTTCACATATAGTATGACAAAACGAACACTCCAACCCTCCTACAGTATTGGATAGCCAGTCTCTACCTGTGCAGTCTTTCCAATGTATAGGCATATTTAAACTCAGACCTTACTATTTTCTTTTTTTGAAATTACAAATAAAAACTTGGTGAACATTTTAAAATATAATTCATAACATACATTTCTATAGACTATTTTCTGAGAAAAAGTGACTTTTGAATGCACAGAAACACTTTTTACAACATGTTTAACAATGTGTATGCCATTGGGAAATTTTTGAGGATATGTATAAACTGAAAATTTGCCTTTAAGAGTCTGTAAATATAAGTTAGGCTAAAAATCAAATGATGAGTACTGCTCCTACTTCAAAAAAAGGAAAAGAAAATTACATTTCTGAAGAGGTCATTTTCAGTATCTCCTGTGTCAACCTGAATTCCTCTTAAAAGAAATCGTATTATCTGTCTCTTTCTCCAAACTCCTGCTCATATTTGTTTTAATCTCAAACTCTGGATACTATCTAACATCTCTTACTTGTTAAGATTTTGCAATATTAGTAGGTCTCATTTAGTTTTGTTTCTGGTGTGTTTTTTAGATGAAGTAAAACAAATAAACAATGACATTTCATATATTCAGAGCCAAAGCAATGCTATGCTTTATTTTTCTTCCATTATTTATGTTTTGTTCAAAATGTCCTTACAATTTATGACTTAAATAAATATGTAAGCTTATTTATTTTCTTTCGGCTTCATTTACTTATCTATTAGATTAGCTTTTGTCATCAATGAGGATACATTTTTATGTATGAAGTAAGGAAAAATATATGCTTTGGGTTTGAGTTGCCTGAGAACCATTTTTTTGAGCAATCTGTCCCTCATAATTTTATTATTGACCGTTCTTACTCTTTCCTCATCAAACATTTTTTTGTTTGGTATAGTTTTGTTCTTGTTTACTATTTGAAACTATGTAGACTAGGCTGTCCTAGAACTCACAGAGATCCTTCTGATTTTGACTCTGGAGTGCTGGTATTACAGGCATGTGTCACCATACTGAACTCTCAATGAACACTTTTGTGTTGTTTGATGAAATATTGTTTGAATCTCTACTGAATTCTTTGTTACTAATTCTCTATTAACAATGAAAGAGATCTATGTTAGAGCACAGTTGCTTCTCATGGCATGGAAAGATAGATGATGTAGTTTGTTACAACATTGCGACTTTTAAAAAGGAAGTCAAGAAAACATCATCATAATGATCTCAGACTTTGATTTATAGTATTTTGTAACTGAAGAACATACTAACAAGCAGATACATATACATGCCTCTATATTGCTTTGCAAATACACTAAATAGGGCCTTATTTTACTTGAAATATTTTCCAGTAACTAATACATTCTAAAGCTGCCACCAGTGTCATGTCAGTCATTGCTTCTGCAGTGCCATTTAATTTTGAAATTCATTTCTGTTTGTATTTATTTAACAATATCTTGATGATAGATGTCCAATAAGCATTTATCAAGTGGGGGAAGAGTGAGTGAAACACACTACTTAAATAGAGTGCTACACAAATGGCATAGTATTAATAGCTGCCTCAGAAAGTTTAAGAATGGCTGACATAGGAACAAATGTGTGCCTTTTATTCACATCAAATCTTGAGAGATGAATAGCAGCCAAGTGTGATGTGTGATATTCACAGCAAGTCCTGAAAGATGAATAGCAGGCATGTGTGATGTGTGACTTATTCATGCTAGTAAGAGATTTACAGGCTAGTTGTCTATTAACATACTTGAATTCCAGTTCTGCATATGGCCGTTTTTTTTTTGTCATGATTAGCTATGTTGTCACTCTATGTTAAATAATAGGTTGTCTGAACCAAAATATGCAAGAAATATGAAGACAGGAGACCCAAGTATTACACTTCCTTCTCGTTAAGTCACTGGTGTAGCTCCAATTGGTGTGAGGTACAAAATTTAGAGATGTACATGTATGAACAAAGAGACCATTTCTGAACATGAGACCTGTTATTATGAGCTAAACAGTGTTTCAATAAATCCCTGTGATGAACTATTGATTTTTCAGTGTCTCAGAGTGTGAGTATACTTGGGGAAAATTCTTTGCTGAAGTATCATGCTTGCCTATTTGTTTTGGCTTGTTGGTTTGTTTGTTAATTTTGCTGTCAACCTTAGGAGCAACCTTCCCAAGGCTTAAAGTGTTTGAGACAAGCAATGTATAGTGCTTTCCAGATAAGAATGGCATTATCAGGAAATGATAGCATGGAAAGTCATCTATTATGACTGGTGCCCATAGAAGAAGAAGGGATATGAAAAAACACGGCGAGAAGATGAAGAGAGAGAAGATGTAGCACACAAAGTCAGGAGACCGCGAAAGAAAACCAGCCCCAATGTCATCTTGATCACTGGTCTCTGATCTGCCCAAGTGGGAGACAACAGATTTCAGTTGTTAAGCTTTGTGGTCTGTCATTATTGGTCTTAACAGACCTAGAAAATTAATACCACATGGAGGTATGGAGTGAAGTAACGGACAATAGAATCAGGAAAGATACAGAAGAATAGGGAACAAAACTGAAGAAAAAATTAGGAATGGGAAAGGTGCTGGAAAGTGAACAGGATAGGTTCTACACAGAAAATTGGACATGATAGTTAAATAATGTATTCATATGAAAATGCAACATTGAACCTCAATAATTGGTACAATTAATATGTCTAAAATACAAAAAAATTAAAAGGAAGACTAATATACTCACAAACTTAAGGAACTAGTGAGACCATATGTTTGCAAAGGCTTTGAATCATTCTGTCCTTTTCTGTATATTCAGTTTTAGAACAGATGACTCATACTGGCACACATTGGTTCGGTTAGAACTGATCCATCTCTGTGGTAAATCCCCATCAAAGAAAGTTGCCTTCTTAGCTGATTCTTCTAATTCATCTCTTCTTCAGTGGAGGAGGAGGTAGGCTTTAATTGACTGTCTGATGCCTTACTTTATTTTTTATTGCTAATACTATTACAATTGGGACTAAGGAAATTGTAAAATAAGGAAGTGAGTTTGGGTTATGATTATGATGACTGGGGACACATAAAATATGGTGCCAGTATCCCAGTGATATTGCATCACACTGTGGTAGAGAAACAAAGAAGGAACTAGTCATAGATAAAAGGGCACACAAATAACCCTTATTAACGGACAGGGAGAAAGTTGGAATAACGTTACTCATGACAGTGGACTCATAGGAAACATGTCCTCTCTTACTGAATTTAATACTCTTGTAAGGTAATGTTAATCTATTCACAAGGGTGGGACAACCATGACCTAATTACCTTCTACTAGTTCCTGAATCTTCAAAGCGATAACCTCGATATCAGTGCATTGAGCATTATGCCCCCAGCATATGAATGTCTACTAACAAACCCTGCCACCAGTTCTTCCACTCACTTTCACAACATGACCTAATCCTGTGGACTAAGGTAACTTTAACACTTGGCTGAGTGACTAAAAGACCTTGGGAACATACCAGGCACTAAAAAGGATGCCTATGTGTTTTTCCCTCTAGAGATTCAGGTCACTTAAATGCTACTTGCCAGCATTCTCAGGGTATAACAAATAAAGGAAAAGTATGGATTGGAACCATCCATACTTCCCCTCATTTCCCACTCAGTTTTGTGGAGAGTAGCAATTAAATAAAAAAATTTTAATTGGAGTAAATTCAGATGATACAAAAGGTGGGTAAGTAAAGAGGAGCATGTAACTGAAAAGGCTAAAAATCCCCAATAAAGTTTCATGTCCTGGGTGAAGGAACGTTGCCTACTCTTTGCCCTGACACATGACACAGAATTCCTACTACCATTGATCTGTCCTTTCACACCTGTACCTCTGTCCTCATCAGTCACACATTCTCTTCATTTACTCAGGGTTGCTCATGAACCAAGGCAGATTTGCTGACATATTCTAATCCCACAACTAAAAGATACATTTCTCTAAGTCATTGTAATAAAACAACATGGGGATAAAGTTTTACAAAGTAATAGAGAGAAGAAGTCACAATTTTCCATGCTATGTAAGTCAGCATAATTAATTAAATAACTGTCATATGAGAAGAGTAAATAAAGGAAAAGGAAGGGTTGTGGATACATATGGTCACTGAAGCATGTACTATTGCAAGGAAAAACAAATTACAAGGGTAGTGCTGGAAATAAAAGCATGGTGAGAAATATCTTTTGAATGCTAATTTGATTCTTCTATTGAGTCTTATAGTGGCAGCATCTAGGAGTGCATTTTTTATATCCCCTTGCTTGTATTTCTAGCAGTTATATAACTTGGTGTCTCTGAAAACCAATTAAACACCTTCCTGAATCTACTGGGAGAATTCCCCTTAAGTGGTTCTCTACCTGGGCTCTAGCAGGACGATCATTTCATTTAACAACATCTTGCTGGAGAGCAGTTCTTCATCACAGGTGTTTTTAGAAATGTATGAAATTAGTAAGTGCGGCAGAATCATAATAAAACGCAACTCTCTCGGGACACAGGTACAGCCTTTGGGGTTTGCATCACATTAAACACAAAGACTCTCTCTCTAAAATGAGCAGTTTGTATCTCTTACTGAAGTTCTTAGATTTGCAAGGAAGGAAATTTCTGAGGAAATATTTCTGAGGAAAGAATTGCTTCTGAATGAAGGACGCAAGCTTGGGTCTCATGTCATAAATACAGGCTTTGGAGAATAAATAATAACTTTCATTAAATTGGCAGATAGGGAGGAAATCTTTGACTTGTTAGGCAAAACATAATCACATAGATCTTTTTTTCTATTGTTTCTTCTTTAAACAACAAGAAAAAAGGCGCCTCGTTCCTTGCTGTACCAGTTTCTCCAGTGAAACAGCTGCTCTGTACACACCTGGATATTGTATTGTCAAGGCTGGCTCCCACCCTCTACCTCTGGTCTTCAATGATGGTCCCCTCTTTAAGCTATCTGTTTCAGGGGCTTACCGACAGTGTTTATGGGATCCCGTCAGGGTCTCAATCACAAAGCACTCGCCATCATTGAGACAATAAGCTAGGTCCTTGTCTCGGCAGGGTTTGAAGTGCTCAGATCGTTCAGTGGAGTATGTCGTAGTATCTGAAGAGGAGAGAAAAGAGCAAGATACCGTTGACACGTATTACCATACAGAGCACTTCTATCATCAGCTGGACTTGTGGGTACAGGACTATGCAAAGGCGATACCCACGGGGATTGGAGACAGACAGCACCAACCTTTAATGAAACTAACCTACACAGCTGAATTAACCTATTGGGTTTAGTTTTCTAATAGCCAGCCCTGTATCCTAGGATTCAAGTAACCACAGATGAAAATTAATTCAGGAAAAATAACTTGCAACTGGGCATAAAGAAGCTCATCTCTATTGACAGCAACCCACGGCTGGAGGCTAGATGATCATGAGCCCAAAGAAAGCCTGTGGTATATGCAGAATAAAAAGATATGCTAAATAACATAGCATTGCTTTTCCTTGGGGAAAAACAAATGCAGCAGCAACAACAGCAACAGAAATCAAAACATAAAGACTGAAATAGCTAAAGCATTCTTAGCTTTGCAAGTATTTGATTCATTTCTAAGCACTGTGAACAAAATTAAATTGTAGCTGGGCATGGTGGAGCGTGCCTTTGATGCCAGCACTGGGGAAGCAGAGACAGGCAGATCTCTGTAAATTCAAGGCCAGCTGCATCTACAAAGCTAGTTGCAGGACAGCTAAGGCTGTTACACAGAAAAACCATGACTTGAAAAACCACAAAAAATTAGAATGTATCTGTTCATACTTTTTCTCCTCATCATTATTCCTTGAACATGAGAAAATGGCATCTATTTAAACAACATTTGCATTATAGTCTACATCGTAAGTGTTGGACATGAGTTAATTATACAGGAAGAGGTGTATAGGAGATGTAAACACTGTATCAATATAAGTAAGAGCTTGAATATCCAGTAAGAATCCAATTCATGCCTTGGGACCAATCTCCCAGTGATAACATCCTACTGCATTTTAACACTGGAGTCACTCTGGGGCAGTGGCTCTCAGCCTTCCTAATGCTATAGCCCTTTAGTACAGTTCCTCATATTGTGGTGACTCCTGACCATAAAGTTGCTTATTTGCTCTTTCATAAACATAATTTTACTACGTTTATGAGTCATGAGTTAAATATCTAATATGCAGGATATCTGATAAGCTACCAAAAGGAGTCATGACCTACAGGTTGAGAAACAATGCTCTAGCGGTTAGACCCTCTCCCACTTGATCACACATAACAGCAAGAAGTGAATGAATTGTTGTAAGTCAAACACAGTACAAAAACTTTCCTTCATTGTACTTTTAACCAACATGCTGTATGAAGGATTGAAACAATATGCAATTCATTCCCTGTATTATTGCCAAATGTTGTTAAAAATTTGACAATATATATCCTGATAGTTGTGTGGAGATGTCAGTTTGGGAGTGCTGTACTTATAGCTGTCATCTTCTGATAGCTGGTAACCTTTTTTTCACATTCCCATTTCATTATGTAATTAAAATTTCAATGCTACAAATTCTGGAAGACAGAAGCACGTAAAGAATATTCATGGAAAATATTTGATGGTACACACAATTGTGATTTTCAGCATTCCTTTAAAAATGTACTTTTAAATCATAGTTACTTATACTTTTTAAATTAAGCAATACATATATCTGTATACCAAATATTAAACAAGCCATAAATACATCCTATTGGTACGTTTCAGTATTGACAGATATTTCAATATTATGACTTCAGAATCTTCACTCACAAGTTATGCATAGGTGTTAAAAACAGGACTTTGAAGTCTGTTTTAGTTACAATGGGGACTGTTTTCTGTTTTAAGATAACTTTCTGTTAAGACTTCCCACAAGACAAAAGCTCTGCAAAACATACACATTCTGTTTCCTAAATCTCCCCTATGGCAATGATCTGGAATTTAGGGCAGTATGTACTATATAGTCACACAGAATCCATCTTTTTTTCTGTGTGGAATAGCTGACATGCAGGCGCTCCAAGCAGAAAATTCAGTATAAAACACTGCACATTTGATGGCATTCCCAACTGCTGAAGTATGCTGTTAATTCATGATCGGCTACTTAACTTCTCCTTTAATTTCTTATTACCCATTGATTGATATTCACTGATCATTTCTCTAAGAACAGCTTTTCATTAACATAACCTACAGCAGAAAAAGTAAGATCCTTATTTTTATAATCAGTGGTTTTAACAAGCTACAGACTCAGAGTGCAATACAATGGCAAAGCAATTACAATCAATTAATTTCTATCTGACAATTGTGGTCTCCTGGGGTTCCCATACAATGCCACCAATTACATTGCTGTCACAGTGGGAATCATCTGTCAGCACATTACAGAGGATCAGAGACCCCAGGAAGTGGTTCTGAAAAAGATCTGGATATGAGGAGCTGTGAATACAGACTTGGCATGTACTTGAGGCATCTATACCCTTGAAAAATCACAGAATTAATTTCAAATACTAACTTGTATAAGTAAATCAATAGAAGTTATCAGAAAGTTTAACATCTTAGCATTTACCCAAGAATTTTGCTGTGATATCCACATTGTACATCTCACCACAAAGCACAGGATGTGGGGACAAGGTTATGACATATGCCTCATGAAGTCAAAGTTCATTTTTAAAGTAATCATGCAAATATATAGATTGGCAGGTTTCAAGACTATTCTGCTATATGAACTTGAAAACCACCTACCTAAGCTTATGCCAAATAAATAATATACAGAATACCAAAGTAACTATTACTTAAGTTTTTCTATAATTTATAATCAAATGTAGCCCTAGTATAAAACAGCAGGCATTGTGGATAACACCCACTAAAATTGATAAATCTGTTTATGAGCATACATACATTTATGTCTGTATGTGTTAAATATTTAACATAAAATCATTACAAAACTCATTATAGAGAACATAAAATAAAAATCAACTATCATATACCATTCATTATATTGTTTTTGTGCCCTAAAAGTAGCAAAACAGATGAGATCTATCTTCAGTCTTTTTAAAGTTAAATCCTTGAGCAAATCAGAGATAAGATACTTTATACCTATAAACTCAGTCAATACATTTGGGTCATATTTATGGTTTTTAAAATTATAGCACCCTTAAGATAATCCAATATACTAAGCTGATTATAAAGTGTGCATTATGATTTTTGCATGTATTTATTTGAATTTATTTTTAGAAACATATAATTTGGTAATTTAAATGAAAATTATGAATTTTATGCTATATGAATGAAAGACTTGGTAAATCAATACTTCCATGACTACCACCTTTTTAAAGCTCTTTCTTAGGGTCATATTCAATAGAGGATCATTATTAGATACCCCTATCTCTCCTCCTGTCTATGAATATCGTATATGACAAGACTGAATGCTTCTGAGAGTAGTAGATTAAGGCTCCTCTGACTTCTGATTTCATGGATGGTTTGATGAAGATTTACACACAGCAGATTTTTATAGATTGATATGTATGTTCATGCTTGAACAGTTTTCTATGTTTATGTTGAAAAGTGTTATTGCATTTGTTTTGTCATCAGAAGAAATAAACTCATGGGCTAGATAGATGTTTCTGTGGTTAAGAGCATTTGCTACTCTTGAAGAGAACCTGAGTTTGATTCACAAAACACACATGGAAACTCGCAATTGTCTATAGCTTCAGTACCAAGGTCTCCAATAACCTCTTCTTGCCTTCCCAAGCACCAGTCATAGGTGGTACTCACAGATAGGTGCAGGCACACACACATGTCCCTAAAGTAAAATAAGCAAATAGCACAAAACAAACTTATAAAATACCTGAACAATTAAATATTTAGAATTTTAGTCTTGAGAAGCACCTTAAAAACAACTTAGGAGCCAGGTCTGGTGGTGTAAGCCAGTTGTCTGAAATTGCAGCTCAATGGAATATGAAGGAGGAAGGAAGACAAAATTAAAAGGAACCCTGGGCAACATAAACAGACCCACATTTAACAGCAATGACAACAGCAAAATTGCAAAAGCAACTTAAAATTTAGATAAAGTACAAAGAACTTCATAAAAGTAAAGAAAAGTTAATTCTATGGGATGGAGGATAGTGGTAAAGAAATCAAAACAAAACAACAAATTAGGAAAAGATTTTAAACGAGAGGGCCATGAAGAGCAGAGGAAGGGTGAGAGCTTTCAAAAATGCTTAAAGCGTAAGACAACATAAAGCATAAGGACAAGAGTTCAAGGGCTCAGGGAGAGAAGGCAGGTTGGTGGTTGTGGAACCTGACCACAGGGGCTGGGCAATTATCTGGACCACTCATCTGTTACTTGTTCCATGTGGTTTAATGTGTTTTCTTATTTTTATTGGCTTTTGATCTCTCTCCCCAAGGAGGTCACAGAGAGGGTTTTTTTTTGTTGTTGTTGTTGTTGTTTCTTTTTTGCTTTTTTTCACTTTTGCATTCTTTCCACTTCATGTAGCATACATAGCAAGCAATCAGCACAGTAATTAAGCACACTGTAGGAAGCAGTGGTAGTTAATTCATTAAAAGCAAAATGGGAAGAAAATGTATGGCTGGAAGACAGGAATCCCTGTGGATTTTTGCAATGAAAGTTAATTTATTAATGACTAAGAAAATGGCCCCTTTTCCGTTTAAGTATTGAGTTGAATTTGAGTGTCACTTTGGGAGAGTTTCTATATTCCAAACACAATACTGCATACACTGTGGGAACCCTATTTCTGTTGCAAGAACAAGAATGTGAAATTGGCAATTACAGATAATAATCACAGTAGACAGTCAAGGATGGAGAGAACTTAGCTCACAATGCTGCTGTTTCTGAGGACATCCCAAAAGATCAGCACAGGAGCCCTATGCTGAATGTGTGTTATTTAACTGTCAGAGGAAAAGAAATTCTAGCAAGAGCACCTGGAAAAGAAAGTAAGGGGGCAGAGAGAAGACTGGATAAATCTTTCACACTCCTGGCTGGCAAATGACAGTTTCAGCATGAAGTTTTCCACTTCTCTCTGATAGCTCATCACTTGACAGTTCTCTAAAAGGAAGTTAA